AGGGGAGGGGAGGGGAAGGAAAGGAAAAAGGGAGGCCGGCAAGCTGGCCGGCCTGCCCCGGGGAGGAGGGTCTCCTCCCTGTGCCCAGCCCCAAATTCTGAGCCGGCCTTAGCAGACGGTTGTCAGGGAGGTTTTCCCCTTGGGGAGTTGTGCTGTGAGTTTAGGGGCGCGTTGGCATCGTCAGGCACACGGGGACGGGGCCGCAGCAGCATCCACAGGGCCCACAGAGTCAGGGGCGTCCTCACCCCACGTTCTCCCGGCTTGTTGAAGCAGCGGCTTGCACCTGCAATGGATCTCACACAGGAGCACCTCCAGCCTTTCTTTTTGGCTCCTCCTAATTTTGGGATAAATGCCCTCATCTTTTAGTTCAGTCCAAAGGTGTGACAGGCTGCAGCAAAACGTCATTTCATCAATTCAAGCATGGTTTGGTGTACCTTACATTCTTTGAGTCATTCGTGAAACTGCTACTAACAATGCTCTTCACCTTTTCAGCAAGATGAGAGTGATACGGTTAGGCTGCGAAAGGCCCAGGGGTTTCTCTCTCATGGCTCACCCCTCCTATGTTCTTCTGTTGAAAACACAGCTGGGAAATGTGTCAGATCCCATGGTGGAGGGAGGCACTTTTAAGTCAGAGGAGAAAGCGTTACTAGAAAGCAACTGGAAGCTTTTTCAGGCTGAGGACGAAGTTGCAGGAGCCGCAGTTTTATAAAACCAGCACTGCAGTGACTCTGGCCACAGAGGCTTTCCGAGTTGCGGGGTTTGTTTTCAAGACCAAGATTTCCTGGGGGTCACTCATCGTCTTTGGAGGAAAAGTTGCAAAGCTCAGCAAAACAAGTCAGCGTGCGTTACGCCGGCATTTTGATCTTCAGGCCTTTGCATGATCTCTGCCAAGAGAAAAAAACAAAACAATTGTCAGCAATTTCTGTGTTTGTCTTGAAGCAGGCTGCTGTTCAAATCACCCTGCCTTTTGTCCGAGTCCAAAGAAGTGGCATTAAAGGCAAAAAAGCCCCCATTTGAGATCTGCTGGAAGATGGACACTCCAACACGAAATGTTTGCCTTTTAGCCTGAAGCATCATGCTGTGCAGACCAAGAGACCCATGCAAATGTCACCTCTGAGCTCCTGTGGCTCTGTCTTTTCTCTTATTGGGGCAAGGTGTGACCTGTCCCAGGAGACTTGTGGCTTCCTCTTCCTGCTCTGCAGAACCGGGGGCTCCCCAACCCTAGAGCTCCCTTCTCACTGACTGCTCCCTGCAGACCAGGTGCCCCTGGCAGGGCCAGCAGCCCTCTAGCTCGTGCTGGAGGGAGGACACCGGGGAGCACATCTTCTCCCAGAGAGGGGAGGCTTCAGGGAGCAGGAGGAAGTACGGCAAAGCATGTCAGGGCCATGCCACGTAGCTCCAGATAGCACAAGGCTGGTATTCTGCAAACCAAGGTAGCTCCGGCAGCTGCAAGTAATTTTTGTGTCATTTGGTGCCATGTGTATTTCAAATCGGGAGATCAGTACATTGTCCCTCCGTAGTCATGTTGTCTTCATGACAAAGAAGTCCCTCTTCATACAGTCCACGCTTTTCCAATGCAGAACTACAGATTTCTTAACGTACTTTCCCTGGGTAGTAGTATGTGTTGGTATCCTACCCAAGACCACACATGTTTTTTCCTAGTTTTGAATTTGAGAATTCAAGTTTTCTTTGTGGTGTAATACTTTGTGCTTGTCTTTATCGAATTTCATCGCACTGCTTTGAGGTACTTTCTGCGATTTAGCAGCGTTAAACCCTTGTTCAAAGCCTTGCCTCCAAAGTGCGGTACTGCCCAACTCGTGTTATTTGCTGTTCAAAGTCAAAGGTCAATTCCACCATCCAAGGCACTAATTAAAGTAATCAATCTTAGCAGGCAGAACAGGTCTCAATTTTATACACCTTCATCCTGACAGGAAAATATCCACTGCTACAGTTTGGGAATTGCTTTTCAATCACACACCCCTCTCACGTTAATTCCACCCGAGCCCTATTTGCCCTTATGAGAGTGGTGTTCAAGGCAATGTCAAAAGCCCTATCGAAGTCAAAATACGTTTCATCTACTCCTTTCAGCACCTGCTAAGTCAGTTATCTCAGCAAAGAAATAAATTAGGTTACTTTGACATGATGTGTTCTGGACAAACGCACGCTGCCTGTTTCTCATCACTTGATTGTTATTTAGTTGCTTGCACACGGATTGCCGAACAGCTTGTTTCATTATCCTTCCTGATAACAAATGGAGGTTGGCTGATTGATAACTCTTTGCTCAGCCCCTTTGATAAAGATGGGCAGCCTGTTTTCCCTTTTTGCTTCCACCTGGATCTTGTTCTTGAATGGCAGCATGTATTTTGGAAGAAAGGGCTAGTCCTTGCAAGAGAGCAGATGCTGATCCAGACAGACCGCCGGCCTGGGTCAGTGGAAGTGGTCTGGTATTCTTGCATGTGCCACAGTACTCTGGCGTCAGGGGACAGTTAGGGGCATGGTGCTCCCTAAGGGACAGGGAGCTGAGTGCCATAACACGGCCAGCAGAACAGCGACCTCACTGGCCAGGGCCCCATCCCACAGGACCTGAGCGAGGTGAGCAAGGCAGGCCTGGAGATGGCAGCTGGACTCAAGAGGGAGTCCAGGTCGCCAGACAAGTCCATGGCAATGGGGTAGGTCTGAGGTCAAGCTGGGAGCATAAGTTAGCAAGTCAGGTCTGGTGACAGCAATGGGGGAAGGACAGAGCCCTGTGATCAGCAGACAAGTCCATAGCAATGAGGCAAGCCTGAGGTCTGGCCAGCAACGTGGTTGACAGGTCCGGCTTGATGGGATGCAGGCATGGCTGTCACGCAGCTGTAGCTGCAGCTCAGGCAGGGCCAAGCACCGGAGCCTCAGCTGAAATGCAGCTCCCATAGGAAGGGGGAGGTCAGCCCTGGCTGAGGGCTCACCGCAGCCCAGCCTCCAAGGTCACCAGAGGGAAGGGGGACAGTCCTCAGCTGCGCTCTCTCTAGGTTGGTGGCCAGCCTGGGGTGCCAGACCTCCAGGAAGGGGGATGGTGCTCAGGGCCTTTTCCTCTGGCTGGGGAGGGGTGTGCATGTTTCCTAACATGACCCATTTTTCCAGTATCAGCAAAGCCCAGTATTGTGAGTGTCTCAGGGGAAGGAACCAGAGGCTTGCAAGAGTGTGTGTTTTTTTGGTTGTTTTAGGGTTTTTTTGCTATAGCACAAAAGGAGAAAATCTTACTGCTGTTGGAAAAAAAACACAGTAAGGAAATGACATCTCTCCTGGTAAAACAGTGCTGCAAAAGCATCCAGGATAGAGGAAAGATCTTAATTACAAAGGATTTCCCCAAATCATACTAGCTTGGAAGGGGAAAGAAAAAGAATATACACATATAACAAACCAAATTGTTTGGAAACCTGATGGTTTTAAACTGCTGCCGTTGGAATATGTAGTCTCCATCTTATGTAAGCTCCACTGCCAGTAAATAGATGCTGTAGATGTTCAGCTGGTTTCTGCAGAGATAACGCAACAATTTCAGGCTCTGCTGTAAATGCAGTGTGAAGAACAATAAGAACTGAAAGGTAGACAGGCTTTTAAGAGGTCTGATAGAACCTGCTCCCCCCGTTTTCTTATAGGTGGCTGAAGTGCTTGAGAATAGGCTGGTTGAAGGAGAAGTGTCTCTGGCTTGTGTTATATTTGCTTGTATTAGGTGTTTAACATATATATTTGATTGTAATTAATAATAGCAGAGAGGTTTAAGAGGTTTCGAAGTGGATGATGTATTGATCTAATTGTGCCTCTATTGCTTTCTTTTCTTTTCAATAGACTTTGTTCTTCGATACAATTTAAAGCCATGTTAGGGGAGAATTCCAGATGCGCTCTTAATTTATGCTTTTGGGTTCCAAATTTTCAAATAAACAGAGGGTAATGAATCCAGTGCATTGCCTTCCACATGTGCCTAGGAAAAAGGATTTGTTTTACCACAGGCTGAATGCTGATGTTCATTTTTGAGTTGCATATGGTATCTATGTTTAGTGCTTAGATGGAAACTGATGTTCAGGTGAACTACCAGTATTAAAAAAAAGATTCAGCCACATTTGCAGCACTTCATCAGAGGCAATTGCCACTTTCCTTCTCCCCTCATAATTTCAATCTTTTCTTTTTTGCATCACATGCAATGCAATTCCTTCCCTTAGCACATTAACCATTACCATCACACCTTCCATGAATCTTTTTACAGTGATGTTGGTAAAGCCAGAATTAGATTGATGAGGGCCTTAAGCACCAGGAAATCTTGGTGAAAGGGAATTTTTCTCTGTAAGCAAGGAAGGAGTTTTGAATGAAAAACTGATAAACCCCACGTCTTCACTTCCCACACCCAACAGATAAAATACTAAGCTCGCACTGTAATACAAAATGTTAACTCTAACCTTTCAGAGTAATTGACATCTTGTCTCCACATATGTGACAGGGAAGTGAAGAATCTGTGGCACATTCATGGGGCAAGTCTATAGGAAATATAATGCACTCCTGTGTTAGCTAAATGACTTGTTTAAGAACAGCCAGTTGCTCTGTGGAAGCTGGAATTTCCTTGTGGGTAGGAAGGTACAGCCTTCCTCAGAGGCACTGCTGATGAGATCTGTATGTTAAAACAGAGTCAAGGGCCACGCTTTAATTTGATGTCACCTTAATTTAATAGTTTGTGTGACATTCTGCTCTTAATTGCCTGTAATAGGATCTGAAAAGCATTATTGCATGGGGAAATTTACCAAGGCTTTCTCAGAGGGGTATAATTGAGAGGTGGCTTGCAGCAAGAAGGGATATTAATGTAAGGAGTGAGTGGGAAAATTAAGGTGAGAGGTGGAAGACATGGAGGAGTGACAGCTGCTCCTGTGGATGTTTCCTGTGGGGTATACAGATCCCCCTTCTCGCACGGCCGGAGCTGCTAAGGCACTGCCATACTTCGCGGGGGGGAGTAAAGGGTTGTGTGTGTCTTCTGCACCCCTGAGGCGTCGCCCGGGGCGGGCAGGGGCAAAGGCTGCTTCCTCACAAAAAACCCAAGAGGAGAGGGGGCTGCAGGCCCCGCGTGGAGGGGCCGGCGGCGGGAACACGGCGTGAGGTGCGTGGATGGGGGGCAGGGGTTAATAGGGCGGACGTTTCGGGCGGGGGGGACCGGGGTTCACGTTCAG